CAACTTAGGGAAAACGGAAAAACCGTATCCCTATATTGGATCAGGGCCCACGTCGGCGTGGTCGGGAACGAGAGAGCGGATGAGCTAGCGAAAGGAGCGGCTCTTGGGTTGAAATGTAAATCGCACTATAACGGCTGCCCCATCTCTTTTGTCAAGCGACATTTACGCGCTGAGACAAAAGTAGAATGGGGCAGACTTATAGGAAAGAAAATACGGCGGCCACAACAAAGGCATTTTCCCTTGCGTGGAAAATGCCTTTGGAATAGTAAGGAAGATTGAGATTGACAGGATTGCTGCTCAGATATTCACGGGACACGGAGGTTTTTCCGCCTACCTCCATAGATTTAAGAAGAAGGACAACCCTAGATGCGTCTGCGACCCAGGTGCAGAGGAGGACATCTTCCATGTTCTCATAGAGTGCCCCCAGTACGGAACACAAAGACACACACTACAAACACGCATTGATACACAAATCAGTAAGGACACATTAAGGGAAATCTTTGTAAATGTGAAAGAAAGGAAACTATTCTTAGAGTTTAGTCGGGAAATAGTAAAAAATGTAGTAGAAAGAAATAAGGATTAGTAAATAAAGCTAATACAGCACCTCAATTGTAAAAGAAGTATTTATAATGAAAATGTTAAAATAAGAAATATAACAAGAAGCAAATATGTAAAAATTCATAGGAAATAAATAAACAAGAAAAATTATTGTAAAATAGATATAAGAAATTAAAAACTCAGAGAAACGAAAATGTAAATATTCATAATAAGAAAAATATGTAATAGAATTATAAAGATAAGAGATAAAAAAAAACTAAAAAAAGAAGCACAAAAAAAGAAAACAAAAGAATGGAAAACAAAACAGAACATAAAGACCTGTAACAAAACGGGGATTAATTAGAAAAAAAAAAATTTTGAGAGAAACCATATGAAAGCCGATAAGCAAACTGTGTCCAGTTTATATTTTTAAATGATTCGCAATGTCATTTGGTAGATACAGGATTATACACTTTTCAGGTGTAGTCGATAATACGTTGGAATTAATACCACATTTATTCCAACGTATTGTCGATTGCACCTGAAGTCCTCTTTTGTGCCTGTATATGTGATCTTATATCTACTTTGGTAGATGAAATGAATACGACTATTGTCTAAATTTTCTCAATTCTTAAATAGCAAGATAAAACCATTATTTCGTCCTTTTCAGCAAATTGGCAAGTTAGGATATCTTGTTGGCCTAATGTTGCCCGTATCAGTAATGTACAAACTTGATGTATTTTGCAATAGATAAATTAGTACAGGCGTTGTTAGCTTTTCTATGACTTGTCTGAATTATTATAGAAAGACGGTTATATGTTATTTTTATTTGAAGCTTGTAAAAGTATGTAGAGAGAAATGAAATCTAAAACTATAACTTTAAGACTAATGAATACTTATGGAATTGCAACTCATTTTCATCGTGACCGTAATGATATTTTAATTAAAATTATTAACAGTAACAGATTTCATGTAGGCCACGTCTATCAAAGTAAATATGTCTTTAATTTATTATATTTCGTGCATTAACCCGTAAAAAACTAGTTTAATTATATATTCTTATTCGTACCGCCCAAAAGTAATAATTGCAATAAAATATTATTACGACTATAAATTGAGATGTAAGCTATCCTATCTTTTAAGTTGGATCAAACTGCACACGGTGTGCAAATTTGATTAAAATCGGTTAAGTATTTTAGGAGTCCATCCCAGACAAACAACGTGACGCATAATTTATTGAAATTAAGATATAAAAATTATCGTATGCAGCAAATAATAAAGTCCCTAGCAGTTCCTGTTGCTGTCGTGAATACTTATCACTTTTTCAGAAAAGCATCATTTGCCAATGTTGAATTTCGTCAAGTAGTTCCTTGAGTGAAATTAAAAAGTAATACTTTTTTAAGGCGATGCAGTAAAAACCAGCGACAAGGGCTTTGCAGAAAGAATAAACGGAATCGTCTCGCCTGCCTGCCATCTTTCTTGACACATCTTCTCTCCAGTTTATATTTTTAAATCAAAACCGGAATTCATCCTTGAAACTAAGAAGAATATTTGGATGAACCTCGGAGTGCGTTGTTATTGCGGGACTACAATTCTGTTATGGATTAAAATTAACTTGGCCTATGTGAAATGGACGGAAAGGAACAACTCAAATTCGTGTTACTAGTCGTATCAATGACGTCATGCTTGGCATATTCATTCAGATACCCATCTTCACCGTCGTTTAGAAACACACCAAGTACTGTGCAGCAAAAGAAGAAAATTGAGCTGCAGTCGAAGAATAACAGAAATTGCGGTGAGAAGGAAGTGACAAGTGCAGACCAGATAATCTTTGGAGATGTTAACACGCAACAATAACTTCATAATTTTACTTGTATTATGATAAGTATATTCAGTATATACATATTTATTTTTTGATAATAACAATTGGTTAATGTCTGTTCATTATAAAATTGTACAGTAGTTTTATAGTCTTTGTCAAAGTTTGAATATTATGTAATGTTATGCAAATATCTTTGTTTTATTTTTTAAATGAATTCTTTACAAATTTGGTTTATTGATTTCTGTACGATTTTAAGTAAAGATTTGTTATTTAAAGGTATTCTGTTGTTTCGTCTTCTGAAGCCGAGGTAGTGTATATTGTTTTTTTTTGGTATTTTATGAGCCAAGTTATTTATAACACTCAAGAGGTGGTTAACTCTTTTATTACAAGCAACAATGCAAATTTGAATGATTATGGCTTTATTACTCTTACCAAGGAAGTTATAAACAAATATAATTTTCTTGAGTCTTGATTTTAGCCCACACGGAATAAAAACTTTTTTGTAAAACAAAATCAAAGGAGATTAACTTCATACAGCTTAGAATAACAAATGTTTTGACGTGACAACGTCTTAAATTAGGTTGCGGCTGGGAGTCACTTATGAAAAAGTGTAACGCTCGGTAACGTTACGATGAGTCTCTCGTGTTAAGTTTAAGTTTACATGTACAATGTTTTAGTAAACAAAATATATTTCTATAGTTAAAATTTGTGCAATTCTTATTTTCATTCAATTCCTTGTTCCTATTGTGCAATTTAATTATATTCATATCAATAAATATTCTACCGAGAAAAAGACGTTGTCACGTAAAATCTTCGCCCGTAAAACCGACTTTACAGGCAACCATTTTTTTATAATAAATTTAGGTATCTATCTATGGATCTAGGATTTCCGTAGGATTTCGACTCAATAGAGAAATATCAACCAAAATAAAATACATAGATAAAATGATTAGAGCCTTTAGTTAGAGCCATGTCAAATTCAAATAATGTCAAATAAAAGTAATCACAAAATACCAAAATACATGGCACATACAATGAACAAATAACATAATAAAAATAATTTAATTCAGATATACAAAAATTGGGAAATATTATGAATATGAAAGGCAAAAAGCTAATGTTCGACGTTGCAATTTTCTCAACATCTTTTTACGTCTCCTACGTAGTGATGTCGCAGTTCATTGAAAAATACAGATCGAAAAGGACCAATATTACGCCTCTCAACAACAAATTCGAAGATTAATAAGTAAATCATACAATAAATTCGTAGTAAGTATCTAATAATCCTAATGTAACTATAATTAGTAACTATATGTCTGCTACATACAAGTAGAGTAAGCACAGAGTAAGTATAAGGAAATATTAAGATTTAAGATACTATTAACTTCATTGCGTAATTGAACTACTCCGAAACGGCTCGACCGATTTTCGTAAAATTTTATATGCATATTCAGTAGGTCTGAGAATTGGACTCATTTTTTCATCCCCCTAAATGTTAAGGGTGGTTCACACTTTAATTTTTTTTGGACATTTTTTTTTTAATAATACATCATACAAAAAAAATTCAACCCAAAATTTTCACCCTTCTACCACCAACCCCTATTTTTTATGGCGGTACGAAGTTCGCTGGGACAGCTACCTACTAGCTGTCCCAGCAGTATAAAAAACTGGCCAAGCACGAGTCTGGCCTCGCTCAATTAGGGTCCTGTACATTGAACTGTTATTAATTATTAAAGCTACCAAATACACTATACATCATTGACTGACATCGCAACAAACAGCGAAAGTTGTTTCGTTACAAGTTACAAAGTACATTACGAATCGCCGCCATCGAATTATGGATAAACTGTATGGTAAAGTAATCTCGACAACAATGTGTAAATGTGATGTGATGTGTGATGCAGGGGTAAAGAATTCTTCAGAAGTTCTGCAAGAGCTCGTTCCCAATTGTCGGATGTCGGTCCAGGCTTTTTACCGGATGCTTCAGTGACAGAGCATTTTATATCGTTTCTTTTCGGCTATTCTTATTCCGTTTACGATCTAGAGACCCGTGACATACGGACATTGGACGATATACATACGGAGTGACAGCAATACAGTGCCGTTATTTAATACCCTTGATGTATGGAACCCCAATACAAGGTTTCTTGTCACTTAGGTACAAAAGGTACCCACCTAATTACTTATTTGGCTGTGCTAAGTCATCTCATATCTAATTTCAATTTTATCATTTAAAAAACTGCTAAATGTCACTGTTTATTGATATGATTTGATGAGCCATATGATTCATACATAATAAAGGGGCGTTTACAGATTAATCATACGTATTACATTAACAAGGAGTTAAGTGCGTCTGTTACAATGACCTTTCTATGTCTGTTATTAATATTTGTATTTTATTCTACAATCAGTATTAGCAGTAATAATAAAAGTGTTATATAAACTATAATGTGCAGTAAAAGTGATTCGCTATTTTATTTTCAATCTAAACATTCTACTTCTAAATACACGCACATGTACGTGCATATACCACATAGTTATTGTCTGAAGGGGTGTAAAAAACTGATAAATTAATACCTAATGCTTATAAATTGTACAAGATATTAATGATTGAAGTACATGTATTCAATGTTATATGAGCTTACATTATTTTCTTCTGCTATAAAGACATAATGAAAAAGTATTGTCATTTTTTATTGTATAATAGTTACGTAAATAAGTATTATTAAAGTATATATTTCCGTATATAATTGTAGAAATATCCCTAAAACAATATAAGGTATTGAGCTGTAGATGACACAGCAGCATCAGAACTTATCAGAAGCAAGAAAAATATATAAACTCAATAAAAGCAATCCTGAGTTGCTATTTGTGTGTGTTTTTAGGGTTCCGTAGCCATAGGGCAAAAAACGGAACCCTTATAGATTCGTTATGTCCGTCCGTCTGTCCGCCCGTATGTCACAGCCACTTTTTTACAAAATGATAAGAACTACAGTGTTGAAACTTGGTAAGTAGATGTATTCTGTGAACCGCATTAAGATTTTTGCACAAAAATAGAAAAAAAATTTGGGGGTTCCCATACTTAGAACAGAAACTCAAAGAAATTTTTTTCATCAAACCCACACGTATGTGGGGTATCTATGGAAAGTTCTTCAAAAATGATATTGAGGTTTCTGATAAAAGTTCTTCAAAAATGATATTGAGGTTTCTGATATAATTTTTTTCTAAACTGAATAGTTTGCGTGTGAGACACTTCCAAAGTGGTAAAATGTGTCCCCCCCCTGTAACTTCTAAAATAAGAGACTGGAAAAACTAAAAAAAATATATAATGTACATTACTATGCAACTTCCACCGAAAATTGGTTTGAACGAGTGCTAGTATTTTTTTTAATACGTCATAAATCTCAAATTAATTAAAAAAATACACTATTATTAAAACATCGATCAAAGTTACAACGAACTCCTCCTCCGTGGCCGAGTGGTTTGTACGCCGGGTTTCTAGGTGTCGCTGACTCGAGAGGTCCCTGGTTCGCAACCCGGTGGGGGCAGATGTTTGTGTGATGAATACGAGCATTTGTACTCCAGTCATGGATGTTAAATATGTATTTCTATATAAATATACTTATATATGTACTGTTTATGTATTCTATCCGTTGCCCTAGCAATAGCATCCCATATCACAAGCCTACAGTGCTTACTTTGAGGCTAGGCTAATTGGTGTGATTGTTTTAAAAAAAAACTACAAGAACTTTTATGTTATGTTACTTGGAATCGTTCATGGGCGAGTCCTACTCGCACTTGGCCGCTTTTTTATATACTTATCTACCTTAAATAAAAGATACTATAGTTCCGTTACCTTCAACAAGCGGATTTCTACAAATTCTACAAACACCGTACGTTGGGCTGCGGCCTACAGGGATTCGAACCTGCGGCAATATTCTACGTGCTGTTCACTCAGTACTGTGGTAATATTCTTAATAAAGTAGGTAAAAATATTGGGTAACATTATAGATTTGTTATGCAAAATAACTTACCCTCTTACGCCTTTTTCTTCCAGGAAAAGTGTTCAGAGGTTGAGGTGGTGGCGGAATGTGGTAGAAATAAGGCGGTGTAAACATTACATCCTCCATTCCTGGTGGTACAGGTGTTGCCCGTGTCACCAAGGACCTCACCGTCCCGTAAGGGTTCCTACGTCCATGGCTCGCGTACATGTTCATCATTTTGGCAACACTGGCTGGCACAGACACTTGTTTTTATTGTAAGAAAACGCGCGTGAAATTTTGGCGGTTCAAAAAAATGGCGGAACACCGCGCGTACAATTTAAAACGCAGCTTCTAAGTAAAACTTATTTTCTAATAAAAAAAAATAAGCCACTGCTATGGTGTTTCATTGTATTTCGAGGAGTCTAATGGTTAACATAATTTTGTTGGTGTGAAAATTATGTTAATCTGAACGCCCCTGTCAATGGACGCGCGGGTGGCAGCCGAGTTGATGTTGTGCGGAATGCGTGTGTACCAGCCGTCCAGTGCTCTGGGGAGATGTGTTCAAATTACATTAATTATCATAGTTTATCTGCTTTTTCCAATTGACTACGTGGAGCGCGACGTATCGACATAGTTATGTATGAAAATAGCACAAAAACGATCGCGCGTGGCACGCGCCGATATGCGCCGCTGATTTTAAAAAGTTTGTCATTTGTAAGTACTTATTTATTTTAAATTTTTATTGACGTCCGTTACAAAGCTAAAGAGATAATAAGCATCGTCTTCAAAAATTCGATTGGTACAAAGTTTATGATAAAAAGCTTAGTTATTGCATACATTTAGGTCGTTCGTTCTTCGTTTATTTAAAAAAAAATATTATTTATTAAATACATAATAATACGTATGTCAACCAGACCAATTAGGATTTTTTGGTGATCACTTAAGAAACTGCTTCGTGGTACTTATTATTCACCATATACTTATATTGGCATAGAATAATAATTAGATTGTTATGAATTTAGGATATCAATGTCATTCCGATTCAAGAAAACTCCTATAACTTAATTGGCTTAAAAATAGGATAGAGGCGCCCTCTATGATAATTTGAACAAACGTGTTAGTATATGTTCTCATCGCGTTTCCAACCGCACAGTCGCTATACTTAGTTACAAGAGCAAGTAACAGATGGCGCTACGATCAAAATAACAAAGACAAATCACAGAAAAACTAAAACCAAAGAGATTATACGCGGAGACCATGGTGACCAAGCAAATATCGTCAAATTCAAACATTACTGTCAATATGGCTGACCATCGGTCATTCAAACCATTAAAATGTAAATAGTATTTCATATCGCTTCATAGCATTCTCGGACTCAAGCCCTGACCATGGTAGCCGCACGTTTCGCCAAAGCGTTTTTCGGGATAATTTTCCCATCTGCATCCTGCACCCCTTTAGGAAGAGACAATGGTTTCGGAAACGACTACGTTTGGGCAGGGTCGCTTGAGTCAGGTCTGCAATTAGCGACTCACCACAAGAAACCTGTAATGGTGATCATTCACAAGTCCTGGTGCTCAGCCTGCAAGAAGTTAAAGCCGAAATTCGCTAGTTCCAAAGAGATTCAGACGCTTAGCAAACATTTCGTCATGGTCAATTTAGTAGATGAGGAGGAGCCGAAAAATAACGCCTTTGCTCCTGATGGAACTTACATACCAAGGTCGGTTAGTTTAACAATATGTTAGTAGGACATCGCTCCAATAAGTATAACCCATAGCACCCAAACTTTTAAGCATTGGTTGGGTCTGAGGTTACAGGTATTCCAGCCCACAAATTTCTGAACTGAATTGCCATACAATTTTTAGATAAAAATAATGGATGAGTAATGTGCATGCGTAAAGGTTATTTAAGAAAAGTAAATAAATCAAAAAAAATGCGTTATCGCAACATTAATACATATTAATAATTAACTATGTTCACTGTCAAAATATTACATTCCCTGCATTGCATCCTATTCACGTAAATATTTAAGTTTCTTATTTTGTATCAATTATCCTTTAATATTTGTATTTTTTTTTCAGAATACTCTTCATTAACCCCGAGGGATTAATAGATCAGGATATTTACAACGAAGAAGGAAGCAGCCAACACAAATTCTTTTACAGTCGACCGGAACAGATCGCAAAGTCGATGAAAAAAGTTTTAAGCAAATACAAACTTGAGAAGTTCGATGTATGATTATGATAAGGAAAAATTAATCGTGGTCATCGATTGATGGATAAAATTCAAACCAATATTGATTTACACGCATATGCGTCATAGGTAGGGAAAGCTGTAAGTAATAAGACTTCTTCATTTTGCAGGACTGAGCAAAGAAAATTATTGAATAAGATGTTACAACAATTTTCCTCTCAAAATTGTAGTGAACCCACTCATCACACAAAGGCAAGAAAAAAGTAAAATAAATCACATCTAAGAAAAAGTGTCTGCTGTTTCGTTTTAAAATTAGTAGAAATTGCCATATAATTTGTCGATTTGCATACCTCGTTAATATAAATAATCGTATATAGTAGTAGTTTTAGTTGAATTAAGGAAACAGAAGCAGGGACAGTTAAGTGAAACCCACGGCAACGGCTAACAGAACCCAGTAGGCATATTCGCTAACTGCTTTTGATAGATGGAAGTGATAATCACCGAGTTATTTAGTGATCCACAACTGCTTTATTAGAACGCCACTAAGATACTTGATCTTAAAAGGATCGATGGCTGCATGCAATACAATTTTATCTTACTAAACACTAAATGTCAATAAAGTTAGCAAATAGGACGGTAGCTCCGAACAGACATGCCCTCTTGTAGAGCCAACGCTCCTGAGTCAGTTCTACTAGAAGGAGGAGACTCCTCTCGTAAGGAGATACCCTCCGCGTAATACCACTATAGGCCTCGCAAATTCTCCGCTTCAGGTCTCTAGTAACCCCAAACCTGGTAACGCTCTAAAAGTCATCTGCGCCCAACAACTTACAGACTCAATAGGAAAAGTTAAAGGAATCCAGTAAGTACTCACATCTTCGACAACAGGCTCGACGTACATTTCGACGGTGTTGTTGAGTGGGGGCAGCGGCATCGGCGACGCGGCCACCGACGACCGCCGAGAGATACTGTTGCAGGAGCATTGCGATATCGAGCGACGCGACCGGGGAGATTCTCTGCGAACCAAACAAATAGGCTGGTTTTTAAACGGTGTAATAACTGGGCGTTTCCTCCGGCTCCTGCTACAATCTGCAACAGGTAAAAGCATGTGGATATATTCCTCGTTCTCATACCCTTTAGTAGGTAGTCCCACAAGGTAGTCCTTGTTGAGATGTGTTTTTGACGATTAGTAGTTTCCAGACGTCACAAGATAGGGGATACCGTAAGAATAGGTAAGGAAATACAACGCGCATGCGACGAAGAATACACTGGTATTTGCAATATGTGGTAATGGGCCGCAGTTGCAATATGTGGTAATGGGAGCTACATCAGTTTAACACAAGTAGGTTGAGCCTGCTCGTCACATCACGACTACCATTTCAACACCAACAAAAAACGGATATTTAGGGTTGGTGCACAATCTCTAATTGGAAACGGATCGGAACGGTTGGCTAACACTACAATGGTGTAATGTCCACCATGTTGTGTTAGCCAAATTAATTAATGTTGGACATCAAGGATTTAAAAATAAACATTTTGTGTACGTTACGTGATTCCCTCGCTATATTTCTTTACCTTTTATTTCTCCTACACACATGATGCGTCGCCCTTTCACATCTGCACCTGACTGGCACAAAGTACCCCAACTGGGGCAGAGGAGCTGGCCCCACCGAGTCGCTGGAGTCACTCCACTCCGGCTGGCTGAATGGTTCGTTGTCCAACGCCGAAGGCATAGCGGAAATTTTAAAAAAAATTGCCAATGCAAAAGAGGTTGTGTTGCGTTAAAATTTTGTCACAGATAAATGAAACCACTATTGTCGCGGAAAGTTTACGTTTTAATGCGAGCGCGAAAATGTTTATAGTGAACCATCATAAATAAAGTACTTTTAGCAATCACTGCTCACTCTTATAATTTCTTAGTTTCACTTGGTTTCACATTTTCCAAACATAACCAACCGCTATGAATACTTTCAGTGTTCTATCTACCTCTGTTCGTTAAAATCGGCTTGCAAACAAGCAAAGTAGCGCAGATAATAAATGTGGGAGCGACAATTAAACACAAATAAACGAAAGATATAACAGCGGAGATAAGATTAAAGAAAATATTTTTTGGGTCACTTCGTCTATGGGTGCTTTACGACTTTATCAAGCAAGATAATATGATAGGCAACAACTTTACTAACAACGACAATGACGTTTGATGCCGCTGTGATTAATGAAGTGCTTGGGCTTTTTCTTTAACTCAGAGGAATTATATACCCCACCGCTGGGAAAGGCGACAGAGTTGTGTGGGACTGTCCCGCGGGTCTACCCACTAAAACTGGGGTGTGCCCTCCTCTGCCAGTGACGCATTATAGACCACACCCAGTGCTTTTGGCCTGCTAAGGTAACTTCCGCAAAAGCTGTTCAACGGATAGGTAACTAAAAGTCAATTATGTCGGCTTTTTCCGAAATTCGGCACAGCATACTATGCAGCTGGCCGCGCTACATGTTCAGTACTTGATCTCTCCTATAAATAATTTGCATTGCGCCAGTGTTGTGGGTAAACGTTATAAATCAAAAACTCAAGTATTTAATAAGATATTTTTAAATAACTTCAGCTAATGTAACGCTCCATTTGGTACAGACAGCCACACATCAAGCTACCAAAAACTGTCTAAACTTCTCAGGAGATTGTGAATATTATATAAAACGTTATAAAACTCAATTAGTTGGAGAAAATTGACGGTATTGGGTTACGTTGATCTGTGGCCGTGTGTACCTATTGTAAATCTATCCTCTCCTCCCTGTTGGGGAGTTGCTCTCCGGTTAAAAAACCACTCGAACATTATTATCTCGTCTCGTCTCACCCGGTTTGAGGTTCCAATTCATTGTATCCGTTGAGTTTTATTTATATTTGTATGTTTGTCACTCATCCACGCAAAAATGTTTAAATGGATGTCGATGAAACTGTACATATAATAATTTATCACTTGGATTGAAATATGTATAATTTTTATCCCGGAAAGATAAGGTTCTTTTGGGATTCGCAAAAAATTCAAGTTAACGCGAATGAAGTCGCAGGCGGAAGCTAGTAAGTATTCTTCATATAACTTCTCCGTTGTTTGATTTTCATTGGGGTACACTTATGAGGGTCAGAAGGTATTCAATAGACGAAGCTTGCGGTGTCGCTACCTGCCCCTGGTTTTTATACGAAAGGAACTTATAACGGTCACAAGGTGTAGGGTTGCCAAAGGGAGTAGACAAAACCAATCCTTTTGAGTGTCGTGTCGTGATTCATTAGGCTGCGATTCCACATGAAGCGGAGGCGCTAAGCAATGCTATTAGTCAGTATCTTTAATACTCTGTTCAGCCAGCTCCGCGTAGCATCGCTTCTGTGGAAACGCAACCCCAACATTATCATTGCTTATTATTGGAAAATATAGATGACTGGTACTTATTTAAACTGTATTCCACAAATATGTGTGGCGGACTTAATACCTTTAGGCATTCTTTAGTAGTCAACCGGAAAATTGTAGCAAGGATCTTAAGAAGGTAGTGCAAAAACTTTTCATCAGTTCATTACTTCGTTCCCACGGTTTCAACCCTCACTGCTGACAGATACTGGGGGGACCACGGGCCTCAGGATGCATTTTTGGTTGACAGGTGTATTTTCTGATATTTAAGCTCGCTGTTTTAAAATTGCCTGCGATAGATATTTGACGCATGGCTCGACCTATCCGGAATATTGAGTCATCTGTTAGAACACGACAAGGTCTAGAAGTGATAAATCTATAAGAAGGGATCACCAGACACTTGGAAGCACAGCGCCAGGAGTGTTATCGCCATAATCTCATCCCCTAACATTGCACGATTAAAAAACCACGGACGGTCTTACTGACGTCTTACTAAAAAAAAGTTGGACACGGTTTCAAACCTTGTTTAGCCAAATTTTGTATGACTTTTTTCTTAAACTCGTGTTAAACGCATGTCTAACATTTGTAGGAACGCCAAAGGGGAAGATCTTCCTCCGAGCTGGATGATAGCTCGGAGGCCGCGGCCCGACAGATGGAATGTTAGCCTCCGAATTTCACTTGCGCGATGTAGGCTTCCTTACTATTGTGATAGCAGCGCAGGTAGCGCCATCTCTTGAGGAGGCGAGTGACTGTTTCCTTCATGTTAATGCATATATTGCGTATATCATATCTTTTCAATATAAAATAAAATCTTTTTTATGTTCTATGTCGACAACCTTAGCTTAGTTTTGGGTTTCCTTAAAGCGTCTGTGTTTTAGATGAAAAAAACGTGAGGGAACGCGCATACCTCATGAATGACTTTTTTTACAACTTTTTACTAAACCTCGCGGTCGTGCCGTGAACTTACGTGACTCACAAAAGGGCCGGCGCGTATCGTAATTAGAGTAGAGCGGCAACTTTGTGTGGTTAACAAAATAATTTGTGATGTGAGGCATTAAATTAGAAGATTAATACCAATAAATTTTATTTGAAATAAACACTGTGGTGGTGCTTTTGGAAAAGGTTTGTCGCCATTTTATACAAATAGGTAAGTAGGTATTAATACAATAAGTTTTTAATGTCAAAAATTACTAAAATTTACGTTGTCGTAATGAATTGAGAAGCTCGATGGCGTAGGTGGTTAGAGCGTTCGGCTGCGGTCGTTGAAGTTGCCGTCGCTAGGACCAACCAATTCGTATTGGGCCCGCGTGGTGGGTCATGGCGCAATCACCCAATTCCATCCATAAGGAAGACCTGTGCCTTAGCAGTAGGGACATTAATAGGCTGGTGATGATAATGTTTCGCAGTCCCTCGCTACTTGTATTTTCGTTTGGGAGCAGGGCTCCGCAGGGTAGGGGATTGGATTCAGGGTTACCGGCCTGAGGATGGATGGAGCGGCACACTTTCTGCCGCATCATCTATCTTCAGTAAACATCAAGTGGGGTGGGGTAAGTTATTGCGCCTCGTATAAAAAATTTTGTAGCTAATATTAAAATTGTAGTATAAGCAAGTTGCGACCACGGACCCATAAAAGGAATAACAATAAATCGCTCTTTAGACCCGCTCAAAAAGTATTTCTTTAAATAAATTAAAATATTCATAGGAGGTAGGTTAAGTATTTAAATCAAAGATTTAACGACAAAGTAACGAAACTAACCGTCGCGTCGACGTTGCTCGGGTCGTGACGAAGAAAACGTTATTTCTGGACTGTTTTCAGGGTTCCTCGTGAGGAACATAGTAACAAAAAAACCCTAATTTATTTTATAGCTATTTCACCGGCGATTCCTAATCATGTTCATAGATATGCAAGGCTAACTCACGGGCGTTTCATACCCGCACCCACCGCGGCATCGGGAATGCTGTTTTACTTCAAAATTTCCCAGACCACCGTTTTGTGTGGTTCTCTTACCCCTCGTTACCACCAAGAAACAAATCATATGCTAAAGAAAATATAACTAGAAAAAAATCCACGCGGACCAGGCAGCAGACGGGACTCGAACCCGCACCCTTTGCTATACGGGCGAATGCACTGACCAATTATGCTACCGCAGCCCTAACAGACCGCGTCGAAATTTTTCTAGCCATTCTTAAGCTGCAAGGCAGCGCCATTTCTTCGCATTATAGGTAACCCACAATGTCAAATGAATACTTTTACAAGTATTAAACATTTGAAAGAATAAATAGCAATTATAGTTATTAGTTATTTT